TGGAAACTGAGCTGCTTTAGATATTATGTCTACTTGATTTGTTTTAGAAGCTGCCACATGCGATCCATCTTAGATCAGCTGTAGCTGTTTGGATGATGCTAACCATTTGTATATAGAGGATCTAAATGTTTAGCTACTTTCTTGCCTTCTCTGTAATCAGCAGCAGCAGATGACGTTGATGGAGCAGCATAACAAAATAGATAAATTGCTGAAGACGAGCCAAACATCATTTCATGTTGAGAAATGACAGAGTTGTACTTGGTTTGGTAAAACCTGGAAAGAAAAGTATAATGTGGGATTTCATGCAATACAAAGTTTACATGTAATGCCACATTCCAGGGTTTTGGATAAAGCAACCATCTTAATAGGATAACAAAACAAAAACAGTTGACACAGCATTAATCCAGCTTTATGCTAAACTGTTTGCCATAATTATTATTGTTGTTTATTATTTTAAATCAGATTTAATCATGTGTGGGGGTGTCAGACCACCCCTTCCTGTACTGCCTGCTAACCTTCACCATTTCTTGTAGTTTACTACCATTTTTACAACAGTTATAGATCAAGCAGGCCATCGCTAAACTAAAAATCAACTATGACATTTTTTAAGGGAACCAGATCTAAACAATGTGTTTGCCTCACAGAGCCATTCAATTGAACTGTATATTTTTGAAGACTGATGATGTCATCACGTACATCGTACATGGTAATGTATGTTGTTGAGGTCATACCACGTCTTGTCAAACAGGGAACCCACTCCTCCACCCCAGGGCTGTGGTTAGAGTGGTTAGGGTGGAAAAATAAAAATAGTAGACTGAAGTGTCAACCACGAAGGGCCTTGAATCCTCAATCTTCTGATCTGCATTGAGACACCTCGTCCATTAGTCCACGTAATCCTGTTAGCCTGTCTTTGTAGTGTCCTGTATTTTTTTTTACCACAAAATCCTTTGATGCCTGTCCATTAGACCAGTGGTTCCTAAACTTTTCAGCTTTTGACCTGCAAAATACCAGCAGCAGAGACCGGGAACCGTAGCTGTTTTCAGTTGATAAACACTGTTTTCATGTCAAATAAAGAAGCGCAGTAACATTATTTATTTTGCTATTTTTGTCTATTTTAAGTACACTAAGCTTACTTTTTTGTAACAACGAATGCAAAAAACGTGCTTAGTTTTCATTTTTTAGTGTATTCATCTCAAAAAATCTTTTCAGGACCCGACCTTTATGTTTCAGGAACCCACTGTGTGTCCCAACACATATTTTGGGAACCACTGCATTACAGGAAGTAGTAGTAGAATTTTTACCCATAAGAGTAACTTTAGTTCCTGTCCATTTTTGGATGATCAAATATTTGCTAGATTTTCACCAACATGCATTTTCAAGATTCTCATTTAGATACAGTAGTGGCCTGCAAATTCCCTGCTAGGAATAAAGTGTCAACCGCGAAGGGACTTGAACCCCCAATCTTCTGATGCGAAGTCAGATGCCTTGTCCATTAGGCCAGAAGGTCTTATAAGACTTTCTCTGTAGTGTCCGGTATTGTTTTTAACACAAAACCCTTTGATGCATGTCCATTAGACCACGTGGTCCGGAAGACATCACTGTGTTTTCTCCTGTACTTTTTCTACCACAAATACCTTTGCACAAATTTTGAGAGTTGAAGCATTGAGAAAGGTTCAGCCAAAGACTTGGTGCCAAACTGCATATAGCACATTTCACCATTACTACTTTGGTCGTTGTAGTAGAATATTTACCCATAAGATTATTTTAGTTCATGGCAATATTTGGATGAACAAATATTTTTTAGATTTTTACCAACATGCATTTTCAAGATTCACATTTGGAAAGTAGCCTGCAAGTTCCCTGCTAGGACTAAAGTGTCAACCAGTAAGGGACATGAACTCTCAAGCTTCTGATCAGAAGTCAGATGCCTTGCCAATTAGGCCATATGATCCTGTAAGTCTGTATTTATATTGTCCTGTATTGTTTGTACCACAAATCCCTTTGATGCCAGGGATGATAAGACCCTTTGATAAGACCAGGTGGTCCGGAACACATCACTATGTTTTCTCCTGTAATTTTCTACCACAAATACCTTTGCACAAATTTTGAGAGTTGAAGTATTGAGAAAGGTTCAGCCAACAACTTGGCGCCAAACTGCGTATAACACATTTCACCATCAATACTTTAGTCGTTGTAGTAGAATATTTACCCATAAGAGTAACTTTAGTTCATGGCCATATTTGGATGAACAAATATTTGTTAGATTTTTACCAACATGCATTTTCAAGATTCCCACTTAGGTAGTAGCCACCAAGTTCCCTGCTAGGACTAAAATGTCAAGCACGAAGGGACTTGAACCCTCAATCTTCTGATCCGTAGTCAGACGCCTTGTCCATTAGGCCACGTGGTCCTGTAAGTCCATCTTTTTATTGTCCTGTATTGTTTGTACCACAAATCCCTTTGATGCATGTCCGTAAGACCACATCACTTCATAGTCTCCTGTACTTTTTCTACCACAAATACCTTTGCACAAATTTTGAGAGCTGAAGCATTGAGAAAGGTTCAGCCAAAGACTTGGTGCCAAACTGCATATAACACATTTCACCATCACTACTTTAGTCTTTGTAGTAGAATATATACCCATTAGAGTAACTTTAATTCCTGGCAATATTTGGATGAACAAATATTTCTTAGATTTTTACCAACATGCATTTACAAGATTCTCATTTAGGTAGTAGCCCGCAAGTTCCCTGCCAGGACTAAAATGTCAAGCACAAATGGACTTGAATCCTCAATCTTCTGATCGTAAGTCAGATGCCTTGTCCATTAGAACACATGGTCCTGAAAGTCCATTATTGTAGTGTCCTGTATTGTGTTTATCACAAATTCCTTTGATGCAAATCAATTAGACCAGTGGTTCCTAAACTTTTCAGCTTTTGACCCACAAAGTACCAGCAGCAGAGACCAGGATCCGTAGCTGTTGTCAGTTGATAAACATATTTTTCATGACAAATAAACAAGCGCTTAGTAACATTACTTATTATGCTATTTTTGTCTATTGTAAGAACACTTATCTTACTATTATGTAACAACGAAGGCAAAAAATGAGCTTAGTTGTCATTTTTTAGTGTAAATAATTCAGAAAAGTTTTTCAGATTCCCACCTTGATGTTTCAGGAGCCCACTGTTTTTCTGACCCCAACCTTGGGAACAACTGCATTAGATCACGTGGTCTGGTACACATACAGTATCTTTGTAGTCTCCTGCACTGTTTCTACCACAAATACCTTTGCACGAATTTTGAGAAAGGTTCAGCCAAAGACTTGGTGCCAAACTGCGTATAACACATTTCACCTTCACTACTTTAGTTATCGGAGTAGAACATTTACCCATCAGAGTAACTTCAGTTCATGGCCATATTTGGATGACCAAATATTTGTTAGTTTCTTACCAACATGCATTTTTAAGATTCTCGTTTAGATAGTTCCCTGCTTGGACTAAAGTGTCAGCCATGAAGAGATTTGAACCCTCAACTTCTGAAACAAAGTCAGACGCCTTGTCCATTAGGCCACATGGTCTTGTTGGCACGTTTTAGTATTGTTCTGTATTGTTTTTACCACAAATTGCTTTGATGCATGTCCTTTAGACCACGTGGTCCGATACACATCACTTTGTTGTCTCCTGTACTGTTTCTACCACATATACCTTTCCACAAATTTTGAGAGTTGAAGCACTGAGAATGTTTCAGCTAAAGATTTGGTGCCAAACTGCATATAAAACATTTCACCATCACTATTTATTTTAGTTGAACATTTACCCATTACAGTACATTTACTTTATGGCCATATTTGGATGACCAAATACATGATTGTTTCTTACCAACATACATTTCACTAGCAAAGACCACACCATGGTTTAGAGTTTAAAAATTTTATTGAAGGAAAGGGGTCGAAGGGTTGTTGGGATAAAGGAAGGGGTCGAAGGGTAGTGGGATGAATGATGAGGCGTCTGGGGAGGTACGTCAAAGGAGGCTTGAGGAGATGACTCAGAGTGGGGCATAGTCTCCAGGAAGGATGTTTTCTTGAACCTGCTTTGGACCCCCAAAAGTATCAGGGCTGAAATGCCCCGAGTCGAGAGTGCGCATGATAAAGTTCGAGGGGATGATTGCGGATGTAAGTGCGGTATGCTTGAGACAACCAGTGACCTAGGATCTGAATAACATGCTTGGGGATCCCTGAATAGGAAGCTGAAGAGGCAGCTCCAATGCGAAAGGAGTGAATGGAATAAAGGACTGGAGAGATGCCTGATTTACTCAGGACTTGGTGGAAGTGTTTGGCGAACCAGAAACGGGTGGCCTGGCAGCCGGATTCTGTAATGAATAGAGGGTCGAGGGGAGAAGCGTTAGCTCTAATGCGAGTTTGCATGTAATGGGCGAGAGGTTCGTAGGGGCTGAGAAAGGAGCTGAGACGAAAGATGTGAATAGGAAAAGAAGTTCCGAGCTGGTCGGTTTTACTTTTCCTCAGGTTGTAAATCAGGGTGTCCTGACTGAGGAAAGAAATGTCTGAGAGACACAGGTGGATGGAAGGGTTGTCTTTGGAGGCAGAAGGGGCGAATTCGGAGCAGCGAAGGAAACCGAAGAAAGCCAACAGAAACATGCATTGTAGTGTAAGGTCTACGAATGGAGAAGTATGGCCGGAGCGCAGGGTGAGGATGCAGCATGTGAGGAGATCGGTGGTGAGCGGAAGACGGTGTGGGAGTGAAGGGGGCTCCTGCTTTTTAAGTCCTTTGAGCAGCATGGATACGTGACTGTGGCTGGACAGGAGTTGCCTATGGCCAGCTTAAAGAAAAAATTGATACCTGAAAGGTAGGTTCGGATGGTGGAAATGCAAATTCGAAGAATGGAATGTGAATCGGTGATGAAATGACAGATGGACATGGTATGGAGAGTGGGAAAAGGTAAATTGTACGTTACGTGGTATGATTTGAAGCTGAGGCAACCTGTCAGATATGCCGAGAGGGTGTGAGGGGCGAGGCTGTTGAGGATAGCTTGTTGGGAAATGTGGGAGAGGCTGGCAAGCTGCGGAGCCAGTTGAAGATTGTGGCTGAAAACGGAGGGACCGGTGTCAGATGAGGGTCTGCTGTAGGCGCTAGTGCCCTGAATTTCTGGAAGGAGAAACGAGAGAGTGCATCAGCAATGTGGTTATGATAGCCTGGAAAGTGAGCTGCCCTGAGCAGAAACTGATGATGAGCTGAAACTAGTGTAAGTCTGCGCATGAGTTGTATGATGGCTAAGGAATGAGAACGACCTTTGTTATTAATTTTGACTACAGCTGTGTTATCGAAATGGATGAGGATGGAGTGCTGGGACCATTCGTACCCCCAAAGGAGAGCTGCGATGACAACAGGATACAGTTCATACAAAGCAGAAGAGGGAGAGGCCGAATCTGGTTGCAGGGTGTCAACCTCCGGGAGCCAAGTGGAGGCAAACCATCTGCCTTTGTGAAAACCGCCGAACCCAATGGAGGGGGTGGCATCTGTGTAGAGCTGAATGTCGTCTGGATGTGAGATGAAATCATTGTAAAAGAAAGAGATGCCGTTCCAGGAAGACAGAAAATGGTGCCAGAGCTTAATTTCCATCCTGCAGGCGTCGCCAAGGGTAAGATGGCCATGGAGTGACGGGACGCTGGCAGCGGTGGATAAAAGATGGGAAATGAAAGATTTCCCCTGGGGGATGATGTGCATGGCATAATTTAGGTGGCCGAGAAGAGACAACAGCTGATGTTTGGTGCAGGAATCTATGAGCATGAAGTTAGAGAGGATCAGGGTGATGCGATGCACCTTCTCGGGAGGTAGGGAAGCCTGAAAAGAGGAGGAGTCTAGGGTGATGCCTAAAAACTCCAATGAAGTAAGAGGACCGATTGTCTTTTCTTCGGAAAGAGGAACACCTAGATCTGAAAAGGCATGGGTGAGAGCACAGAGCCCTGAGCAAGGTGAAGAGGTGGTAGGGGTGATGATAAGAAAGTCATCCAGAAGGTGGAGAACGTAAGGGAGCCTGAAATTATTAAGAAGGATCCAGCAAAGAGCTTCGGACAGTGAATCAAAAATCTTGGGGCTACTTCGGCAGCAGAAGGTGAGCCGAACTGCAAAGTAGTAAGTGCCCTTCCAATACACGTCAAAAAGGCGCCAGAAGTCTGGGTGAATGGGTAAGAACCTGAAAGCGCTAGTAATGGCCGCCTTTGAGAGCCAGGCTCCCCTGCCCACCAGACGAATGAGGCGGATGGTGTGGTCGACGGTAGCGTATTGCATGAAAAAGTCTGAGAAAGGGATGAGACTATTAATGCTTGGTACGTGGGACCCGTGAGGGGCGGACAAGTCAATGGTCAGCCTCTTCTTGCCTGAGTATTTTTGGGTGGCAATGCCAATGGGGCTGACACGAAAGACGGAGAAGGGGGCTGGCTGAAGGGACCAATCATGAATTGGTCCTGGACTTTGTTAGCTAAGAGAGCATCAACTATGTCTGGCTCAGAGAGGGCGGACTGAAGGTTGCCGCAGTGGGTGGTGCAATCTGGGAGGGTCACTAGACCCAGGTGAAAACCAAAAGTGAAGCCATGAATAACAAACTCAACGAAATCCCAATCAGGATGGTGTTTTAAGGCGGAGAGTAGAGCACTCTCCTTAATGGGCGTGGCCAGGTGGCTTACTAGTCAGGTGGGTTTGTGGGGACTTGAGGACCGGGCATGAGCACCGCCGCAGAAGGAGCAGGTGTGCAGAAATCTGCAACTAGAAACAGAGCAGCCCAGGTCGTTGAAGTTGTTGCACACCATGCGGCCGCCTTGGTAAAAGGTGGGGCGGCCGCGTTTTTTGATGCCCCTGGGGGGAGGGGCAACGGGCCTGCGCTGAACAGGAAGGGACTTGGGGATCGGGGGAGGGGTAGGGCGGTAGGAGACAAACGTTCAAAAACAGAAGGGCCACAGGCGGCGGAGGACCGAGAATGGAGGGGCATGAAGAAAGTGCAGGAGGTGGCGGGGTGTGAAGGAGCGCCACAGAGACTGCATCTAATAGAAGCTCAAGCGGCGGAGACACGGCAATAGAGCTCTGAGTCCAGAGCATCCCAAAATGTCCCCTGGTTAAACTGGGCTAACTGACGTGCTGCCTGAGTGGCAAAAAGGACACGGTACTCGTAAAAGGCTGTGCCTCTGAAGCGGAGTGCCATATCGAGCACGATGGAAAGATAATCGTCAAGCTCTGAACGGCGGTCGGGGGAAAAGGAAAAAATTGTGTCCCTAAAGAGTGAGAAGGCCAAAGCGAACTCGGCTGGGGTGAGTTCCTTGGTACGGGAGACTGAGGGGTGGCCTAGTTGCATGGGCCCCAGGCTGGTTAGCAGCTTGTGGGACAGGCCGGAGTGGCTGAGGGAGGGCTGAAGGAGTAAGGCTAATCAACATAATTACCATTCAGAATCTGCTGTCGCAGGGCAGGGGAAACTGTGGAGGGGCGAGTCAGGGTTGGTGGGGGCGAAGTGGGGGTACTGCTGTGGATAGAGAGTAGTGGTTAGAATGATGGGAAGGAACATAGGATGTCGGGAGAAGGGGATTGGGGAAGGATAAGGGGAGAAATGAAGGCGCAGGAGGTGTAAAAGGGGGCCCCAAGATGGCCGGTTGTTGAGCTGGGGCTGCAGATGGTAAAGGTAGGGATGAAGGAGGTGGATGAGGAGCTTGAATGTGCTCGCTAGAAAAGGGGAGGGGAGCAGAAAAGGGTTGAGAAAGAGATTGGAGGGAAGAAAAAGAGACAGGGATGAAGGGATGAATGAACAAGGGGATGAGTGAGGCCCGACTGACCTGGGGTTGAACGACTGGCTCAACGTGGGAGGGTTGGGATGAGGAGGGTATGGGAACAGGAGCCGAAAAGGGTTGAGAAAGAGGTGGGAGGGAAGAAAAAGAGACAGAGGGAAGAATGGATGAATGAACAGAGGGGATGAGTGAGGCCTGACTGGCCTGGGGTTGAACGACGGTCAACGTGGGAGGGTTGGGATGAGGAGGGTAAAGAAAGAGAAGGTACAGAAACGACAGGGGGTGATACGACCTGACTCCCACTAGGGGGAGCTGTTGGCGCTGGCATGGACCCGGCTAGAGTTGGGTCTGTGATGTCACCGCTGAAGACGGAGGTGGAAGTAGTCTGGTGAGTGGGTTGTAGCTGGATGGTTGGAGCTGGGTGCCAATTTTTGGAGAGCTGAGCTGTAGAGGAACATTGAAGATGAGTTGAGGTGAGCAGCTGAAAGAGGGTGGACTTGGAGGATGAGTGGTTGAAAGGAATTCCTCTGTCCTGCAATGCGCTACGGAGCTCCGCTGCAATCCATCCTGCGGTAGCGAGGTGGCTTGTGGGTGCAGATGAGGAACGGCGTGCCCGAGTGGGTGCAGTGGGTCGGGGAGAAGCGGAATGAAGAGGCCGACTGGAGCGGCGGAGGGTGGAGGCGCTGGAATTGATGCGGGTTGAGAGGAGGACGGGTGCGGTGGGAAGGGCTGTGAACGGGCACGCCGGCGAGGGATCTGCCTGACAACAGAAGGTGGGAGAACTGTGCGGGGCGGTTGGAAGCTGAAAAAGGGGGTTGTCCAAACCGGGATCCAGGAAGAGGACGTCCATGGTGAGTTGAGAAACTCCGTCTTTTCTTTCTTTTCTTTTCTGAAAACGCTTGGGCGATACGAACGCGTGTTGAGATAGCGAGCTAAGGGCAGACGCCAGGTGAGGCGAGTTTAAATAGACGATGACTGATTGCTGCAGGTGAGAGGCGTGGTCCTGCTCCCAAACCTAAGTTAATGTCTTAACTTCATTTTCAAGTTTTTCATTTAGGTAGTTGCTTGCAAGTTCACTGCTAGAACTAAAGTATCAACCACAATGGGACTTGAACTCTCAATCTTTAAATCCAAAGACAGACGCATTGTCCATTAGGCCACATGGTCCGGTATGTACCTATTTGTAGTCACCTGAACTGTTTCTATTACAAATCCCTTTGCACAACTTTTGAAAGTTGTTGACTTGAAAAAGGTTTCACTAAAGATTTGGTGCCAACCTGCATATAACACATTTCACCATCACTAATTTCGTTATCGTATTAGAACACTTAACCATTTCCCACATGGTGCTGTACACCCTTCTTTGTAGTCTCCATTATTGTTTATTTTTATTTATTTTTGTCCAGCAATGTGAAACTCAGAATTGATGTCTGAGTGTCCAAATGAATCCCAACATTTTTACTGTTTCAAGATCAGCAAAATGGTATTTCACCATGATGCTCCACTTGATATATCTTTAAACATTTATTATAAATTCTTTTGGGATTATTTCGATATAACGGAAATGGAGATGGAAAAAATACATACATACATACATATACACCAACGCAGCTCCAATATAGAATGTATCTAAGAAACACCTGATCGGAAGGTTGCTGGTTCAACTCCCTGAACCATCCAACAATCACTTAGCTGCTCCCCGGGCACTGTACATGGCAGCTCACTGCTCCACATGTGCGTTCACTTGTGCGTTGGGTAAAAGGCAGAGAATTAATTTCCCCCCTGTGGGACAATAAAGGCTAATAAAATCTAAAAAAATTTAAAAAAAAATACTCAAGTAGGCTGTGGTGTTGACAATATGCTCAGTGGGTACTAATGGGCCCAAAGTGTGCCAGGAAAATATCCATTGCACTATCAGCCTGAACTGTTGATATAAGGAAGAATGGATCCATGCTTTCATGTTATTGATGCCAAATTCTGACCCTACCATCCGAATGTTGCAGCAGATATCCAGACTCATCAGACCAGGCAACATTTTTCCAATCTTCTATTGCCTGTGTGAGCTGTAGCCTCAGTTTCCTGTTCTTAGCTGACAGGAGTGGCATCTGGTGTGGTCTTCTGCTGCTGTAGCCCATCTGCCTCAAGGTTCAGTGTGTTGTTAATTCAGAGATGCTCTTCTGCAGACCTCGGTTGTAACGAGTGGTTATTTGAGTTACTGTTTCTGTTCTATCAGCTCAAACCAGTCTGGCCATTCTCCTCTGATCTCTGGCATCAACAAGGCATTTGTGCCCACAGAACTGCTGCTCACTGGATGTTTTTTCTTTTTCAAACCATTCTCTGTAAACCCTAGAGATGACCCATAGAATATGTTGTGCAGGAAAATCCCAGTAGATCAGCAGTTTCTGAAATACTCAGACCAGCCCAACTGGCACCAACAACCATGCCACGTTCAAAGTCATTTAAATCACCTTTCTTCTTCATTCTGATGCTCAGTTTGAACTGCAGCAGATTGTCTTGGCCATGTCTACATGCCTATATGCATTGAGTTGCTGCCATGTGATTGGCTCATTCAAAATTTGCGTAAATGAGCAGTTGAACAGGGGTACCTTACATAGTGGCCAGTGAGTGTATGTGGAATTGCTTTAAGACTAAATACGTTTGTTTTTTATTTTGATGGTTGCCTGCAAGATCACTGATGAAACTAAAGAGTCAACCACTAAGTGACTAAAACCCTTTTTTTATCCAAAGGCAGACACCATATCACTTAGGCCACATGGTCCTCAATACCCACTGTTTCAGTCTCCCACATTATTTCTACCACAAGACCCTTTTTACTACACTTGGAAGGTGAAGCACTAAGAAAATATTCACTAATGATTTGGTACCATCATGTGTATAATGCACCACACAATAACTGTAGTTATTTCTTACCAGGATGCTTATTTGAAGTTTCACTTAAGGCTTCTTTATGTGCTAACAGAACCTGTGAAATCTGCTTTCATTGAGCCTCATGCAAGAACCATTCGTACGCACAGATTTGTTCTTAAATTGCGTGTACAGTGATTTAGGAGAATTTGTGGCATTCACCAGTTTTCATATTCTAAGATTTTCTTCAGATACAAACAAAATTCACGAGTGGTCCAGACCTGTCGTATATTTTACGAGCAGTCAGTCTGCTGTTATCCAGACTGATTTTCCTCCCTAATAACTTTATAT